ATAAAGAAAAATAGAGAATTTTTCCTGTCCCACATGGATCCTGTATCCATGTGGGACAGGGTGAATTCCTGTCAGGAAGGAGCCAAGGGCTGAGGACAAGGATAATTTTTGAAGGCAATAATTAGCGCTGGAAAGCTTTGCTCCCAAACCCTGCTGGAGGAGGGAGGGGACAGTTCCATACCCTGGTGATGCCGAAAATACCTGGCTCAGGAATTCCAGTGTAGAAAACCAGGAGAGCTCCATTCCCAGCTGGAATGCCAGCGGGAGCAGCTCAGCGAGGAGCTGTAAAGGTGATTTCTGGACACAGCCTTGAGGGCAGCCTTTAAAGGATGGTTAACTCCTTGTCTGGCTCCCGTGAGGAGCTTTCCTGCTGGGATTCAGCTTTGGGGCTCTTTGAAGTGTTTCAGCCGGGTATTCACTCTCCACCCGTGATCCAGTAAACGCGGATCACTCGCCCTGCTGCCTTTAATCCTGGTTTTTGGCCGGGCTCCAAGCCGGGTGATTTCATTTTTTTGCCCGTGGATGCCGAAATTCCTCATTGCCGTGTGAAGCTGCTCCTTCCCTTCGTGTAACGTCGTGTTCCTGCCTGCTGGGAATTATCCATTCCTGCCAGGCTGTAAAACCAAGAGTGATGCCACGGCTTTGCTTCAAAAGTGTCACTTTCCCTCGGAAAGTCAATAAATGCCACCGCTTCCTTTAGGACACTGAGGCGGGGGGAAAAAACCCAACAGAATTCAACAAAATTCAACAAAATTCAACGAAATTCAATGGAATTCAACAGAATTCAACAAGATTAAACAGAATTAAACAAAACAAGAGGCGGCCGCTAGGAGTTTTCCCTTTGAAATCCGTGTCAGGGAGAGCAGCTGTAAAAAGGGATTATTTTTCTCCCACAAGGAATTCAGCTGGAGGGTGGGTGAAGCTCCTGGAATGCTGAAGGGCTCTGGGGCACCCCACATGGCCTGATCCTACGTTCCCCCCTGGAACACCACATTTCCTGCCCCAGCCTGACCCTACATCCCCCTGGCACGAAGGTTGTGGGTGCTTTGCTCCCTGCAAATCCCAGCTTTGGGATCCTGTATCCATGTGGGACAGGGTGAATTCCTGTTCAGGAGGAGCTGAGAGCTGAGGACAAGGACAATCCCATAAATCCCAGATCACAATCCTATAAATCCCAGCTCACAATCCCATAAATCCCAGCTTTGGGATCCTGTATCCATATGGGAGAGGGCAAATTCCTGTTCAGGAGGAGCTGAGGGCTGAGGACAACGACAATCCCATAAATCCCAGCTCACAATCCCATAAATCCCAGTTTTTGGACCCTGTATCCATATGGGACAGGGTGAATTCCTGTCAGGGAAGGAGCCAAGGGCTGAGGACAAGGAAATCCCATAAATCCCATAAATCCCAGCTCAAAATCCCATAAATCCCATTTTTGGGACCCTGAATCCATATGGGACAGGGCAAATTCCTTTTGGGGAAGGAGAAATCCTTTCAGGGAGGAGCCAAAGGCTGAGGACAAGCACAATCCCATAAATTTCAGCTTTGGGATCCTGTATCCATATGGGAGAGGGCAAATTCCTCTTCAGGAGGAGCTGAGGGCTGAGGACAAGGACAATCCCATAAATCCCAGCTCACAATCCCATAAATCCCAGTTTTTGGACCCTGTATCCATATGGGACAGGGCAAATTCTTTTTGGGGAAGGAGAATTCCTTTCAGGGAGGAGCCAAAGGCTGAGGACAAGGACAAGCACAATCCCATACCCAGCTCAAAATCCCATAAATCCCATCTTTGGGATCCTGTATCCATATGGGACAGGTCCAATTCCTGTCAGCGAAGGAGCCAAGGCATGAGGACAAGCACAATGCCATAAATTTCAGCTTTGGGATCGTGTATCCATATGGGACAGGGCGAATTCCTGTCAGGGAAGGAGCCAAGGACAAGAACAAGAACAATCCCATAAATCCCAGCCCACAATCCCATAAATCCCAGATCAAAACCCCATAAATCCCAGATCAAAATCCCATAAATCCTAGCTTTGGGATCCTGTACCCACATGGAACAGGGTGAATTCCTCTCAGGGAGGAGCAGAGGGCAGAGAACAAGCACAATCCCATAAATCCCAGCTTTAATGTCAACTCCCACAGCAGGTCCAGGTGTAGCTGGAAAAATGAGCTCGGGGATGCGAGGCCACGAGTGGGGAGCAGCTGGGGCGTGGCAGGAGAGGCTGCAGCGATCCTGGGGATATTTTTACCCCTAGCTCGGTTCCTCTCCACTCCCAGGTTTCTATTTAGAGCCTGGAGCTGCTGGCATTCCTGCAGGAAGCAAGGAGGGGAAGGATTTGGATTTGTGGAGCAGTTTTGTGTCCGCGAGAAGCTGATTCCCTGTAAACCATCCACAGCTTTTTGGGGAGGGGAAGGGAGATGGAGACGCCACTTCTCATTTTCCTCGTTCCCTGCATCTTTCCTGACCCAGATTTGATCCTGATCAAAGGATCAAAGGAGGTTTTGGATGGGCTCGGTGGGGGTTTGTCAACCTTCCCGAGATCCCAATATCCTGCTTGATGTCCTGATTATCTCATTCCATGCCCTGCCAGGCTGGGACTTTGTCCCCAGTGCAGGACCAGGAGCTGGACTCAATTCTTTCCTCCAGCCAGCATCACTAAATCTCCTTTGGAGCCCAGATCTGCCGCTTTTCATTGTGTCCAAACACGTTCCTGCAGGGCTGGGAAAACATTCCAATGCCTGAAGGTGTCTGGAGGTGCCTAAAACGCTCCCACCTCCCTTCCCACCCCCAGCAAACCCCCCAGCCCTGACCCCAGGCACGGCCGAGCCTTCAGCCTCAGGAATTGGAAGGTGCGAGCGGAGCGGGGCGGCCGCCGCGTGGGATTCGGGTGAATCCCCGGGATTTTCTGGGGATTCACCCACTGCAGGGTGCCGAGCCCCGCCGCAGAGCCTGGCAGGAGCCCAGGCGGAGTGTTTATATTGCTGACGGATAATCTTTGAAGTTGTCAGAGGCAGGCGCGCCGGGCCGGGGGTTGTCCTGGCGACGGGGATGCGCCGGCTCCCGGTGCGGGGTGAATCCGTCTGGAATGCTGCGCTCGCCCTTGGGCGGTGCTGATAAACCTGGGAAGGGGCTGGGGGGGCTCTGGGGACAGCCAGGGAAGAGCAGGAGTGGGGACACACCGAGGAGGAAGGGGCCGAGCCGCTCCGGGGGTCTGCGATGTGCGGGCAAAGAGCCGCTCCCTGTGGGGAAAAAAACATCCCTGAGAAGTTTTGGGGTTTGTTCGGTACCAAGGGGTGAGAGATTGGGTTGGGGGCTGAGAGCAGCGTTAAAGTCCAGGGCTGTTCATGGAAAATCGCCTGGCGGGGAGGTTGGAGCGTCCAGAGGATGAGGGATGCAGGAGGAGCATCCCCACGCTCCTGGGATTGGGAAGAGGAGAGGGACAGACCCAAAACTCCTCAGGCCTGAGGCTGGAAGGGGCAGAGCTGTGACCGCCCAGGGGTGGGACACTGATGCCCCATTCCTGCCAGCGTCCGAGGCCAGGTTGGACAGGCCCTGGAGCAACCTGGGACAGTGGAAGGTGGCCAAGCCCATGGCAGGGGGTGCCATGAGATGATTCCCAAGGTCCCTCCATCCTAAATTGAATTGGGATTCTGGGATTTCGTGTCTGTAAATCCAGGGAGTTCTGGATCCGTGCTGGATCCATGCTGGCCAGGTGGAATTGCAGCAGGGCTGGAGCCCAAACCCAGCCCAGGCAGCACTTCCAGCCTGATCCCAGCTGAGCCTGGGAAGAGCCAAAGCAGGAAAGGCAAAGCCGCGTTTGGGGTGAGCTCCCCACACGAGGGTTTTCTTCCTTTAAGGGTTTTATTGCTTTAATCTCATCTGCAGTTAGGGCGATTCTGACACCCAGCACGAGGAGGCACCCGGAGCTGGGATTGAGCTGGGATCGGGCTGGGGTCAAGCTGGGATCGAGTTGGGATCGGGCTGGGATGGGGCTGGGATGGGGCTGGGGTGGGGCTGGGATCAAACTGGGATTGAGCTGGAATCAAGCTGGAATCGGGCTGGGATCGAGCTGGGATCGGGCTGGGGTCAAGCTGGGATCGAGTTGGGATCGGGCTGGGATGGGGCTGGGATGGGGCTGGGGTGGGGCTGGGATCAAGTTGGGATCAAGCTGGAATCGGGCTGGGGTCGAGCTGGGATCGAGCTGGAATCGAGCTGGGATCGAGCTGGGATCGAGCTGGGTTTGAGCTGGGATTGAGTTGGAATTGGGCTGGGATCGAGATGGGATCAAGTTGGTATTGGACTGGGATCGAGTTGGGATCGGGCTGGGATCAAGCTGGGATCAGGTGAGAATCAGGCTGGAATTGGGCCAGGATCGAGTTGGGATCAAGCTTGGATTGAGCTGGGATCGAGCTGGGATCGGGCTGGGATCGGGCTGGGATCGAGCTGGGATTGGGGTGGAAATTCAGGTTGAGATGTTGCCAACCCCAAAGAAGAGTATCTGTGAGGTGGAAATTGGGGGTCAGGATGTTCCAAACCCCAAAGAACAGCAGCTGTGGGGTAGGAATTGGGGTGTGGAAGATGCCAACCCCAAAAAGCAGCAGCTGTGGGGTGGAAATTTGGGTTGGAATGCTGCCAACCCCAAAGTGCAGCAGCTGTGGGGTGGAAATTCAGATCGAGATGCTGCCAACTCCAACAAGCAGCAGCTGTGGGGTGGAAATTGGGGGTCAGGATGTTCTGAACCCCAAAGAGCAGCAGCTGTGGGGTAGAAATTGGGGTGTGGAAGATGCCAACACCAACAAGCAGCAGCTGTGGGGTGGAAATTCAGGTTGAGATGCTGCCAACCCCAAAGAATAGCTGTGAGGTGGAAATTGGAGGTCAGGATGTTCTGAACCCCAAAGAGCAGCAGCTGTGGGGTGGTAATTCAGGTCAGAATGCTGCCAACCCCAAAAAGCAGAAGCTGTGGGGCTGGGGACCCATCGTGGTGCTGTCCAGCCCTCTGAACCTGCTGTCCCCTTCCCCGCAGGGCTCTGCCGTCCCTGGCAGCACGAGGGAAGATGAACAAGATGAAGAACTTCAAGAGGAGGTTTTCGCTCTCGGTGCCGCGCACGGAGACCATCGAGGAGTCTCTGACGGAGTTCACGGAGCAGTTCAACCAGCTCAACAACCAGAGGAACGAAGGTGAGGGGGTGAAAGCCTCCCCAGCCCTGCCCCAGCCCCTCGCGGGCTGTGTGGGAGGTGTCTGCCCCTCGTTCTGTGTTGCTTTCCCCCGCGGGGCTGACAACACCTCGGCATTAAAGCTGCAGAGAGATTTATCCTTGCACCAGGGAGGGAAAGGAATCTGCCCGAAATGGGGAGCTGTGGTTAAGATGTAGAGTGGGAAAGTGTGGAGACAGAGCTCAGCCTGGTTCAGGGGCTCCGTGTGGTGGAAAATCCCTCCTCCAACCCGAGCTTCCCAAGAAAGGCTCAGCAGTCTCTGTTGTTTGGTCTCAAGGCAGTTTATTGCAAGTTATCTAAAAGATTTTCTTCTGGGGCTGCTGTGGTTTGCTCAGAGCTCAGGCAGAGGCACACACACACCCTGACATCCTCTCTGACCCCGACTGCTTCTTCTCTCCCACCCAGGGCTGCTGCTGTCTTTTATATGGTACATTACGTGTGACATGGTTACAGTTTTCCCCAATGCCTATTACCTATATTAAATGGTGATTTTCTACTCTAAACCAATCTGTGAGTGCCAACATCACCAAGAACATGGAGGTGAGGAAGAAGAAAGAGGGAGGACAGGGCAGGCCCAGATCCCAAATCCATCTTAAACCCTCTGACCCCCATGTACAAAACCAAACCCCCCTGTACAGCACTCAAAAATTCTTCCCTCTACTTTGTGACTACTTCTACTCTAATATCTAAACTTTTGTGACTCCTTGTTCTTCCTGCAAGGTTGGTAACTCATTCCATGGTTCAAACCCAAAATCACAGCTGTTTCCAGCTGTGCCAGGGTCTCAAATGCTTCTGACCGGGGCCTGGAACCTCCAAAAATGTCTGAGGGACGTTTTGAGTTCTGACAAGGAGAGATCTCCTCCTGCCTCCCCAAAAGACGGAGGTGGCCCCTCTGGGGGCTCTGGGCTGATGATCCCGAATCCAAAGGGGCTGTTCTGACCTGGGCAGCACCCGGGGCTCGCTGGAGCAGCCTTTGCTCCTCCCTGCGTGCTGGTTTTCGGCACTCAGGGAGATGAGGGGTTAAACCCAAACCAGGGCACAGCCCCTGTGTGAACACAGACCCCGGGCAGGGCCGGGGCAGGGCCAGGGGTGCTGCGGGGCTGCCAACAGCCCGGGCAGGGCAGCCGGGTTCGGGCAGAGCTGGGCAGAGTTTGGGCACAGCCAGGCAGAGTCTGGCAGAATTTGGGCACAGCCGGGCAGAGCCTGGCAAAGTTTGGGGAGCCTGGCAGAGTTTGAGCACATCTGGGTGGACCCTGAGCAGAGCTGGGCAGAGTTTGGGGAGCTGTACAGAGTCTGGGCAGATCCTGGGGAGCCGGGCAGAGCCTGGGGAGATGGGCAGAGCTTGGCAGAGCCTGGGCAGAGTTTGGCAGAGTTTGGGCAGAGTTTGGCAGAGTTTGGGCAGAGCCAGGCAGAGTTTGGGCGGAGCTGGAGCAGAGTTTGGGGGGCCAGGCAGAACTGGGCAGAGCTTGGCAGAGCCTGAGCAGAGCTGGAGAAGAGTTTGGGGTGCTGGGCAAAGCCTGGCAGAGTTTGGGGAGCCGGGCAGAGCTGGGCAGAGCCTGAGCAGAGTTTGGGGAACTGGGCAGAGCTGGGCAGAGCTTGGCAGAGCTTGGCAGAGCCTGGCAGAGTTTGGGGAGGTGGGCAGAGCCTGGGCAGAACTGGGCAGAGTTTGGGGAGCCAGGCAGAGCCTGGTGAGTTGGGCAGAGCTGGGCAGAGCCTGAGCAGAGCCGGGCAGAGTTTGGGGTGCCGGGCAAAGCCTGGCAGAGTTTGGGGAGCCAGACAGAGCCTGGCAGAGCCTGGTGAGTGGACAGAGCTGGGCAGAGCTGGGCAGAGCTGGGCTGGGCTCACGCCGGGGCGCATCCCAGCCATGCCCTGGTGCCTCCTGCCAGCTGTGCCGCAGCCCGGCCCCTTCCCGTGCCCTCCGCTCCCGTTCAGGCTGTTTGCCATCGCTGAAGGGCGGCTGAGTCCTGATGCCAGCGCCTGGCACCGGCGCTGCCCGGCGGGGAGGGCCCGGCTGTGCCAGCCAAGCTGCCCCAGGATGCTGGAAGCTCCTTCAGAGCCGCCTGCCCTCCCTCCCACAGCTCCCCAGGCTCTTCCTTCTCCCTGCAGACACCCGAGCAGCACCCCCGGGGCTCCCGCAGCCCCCACTGAGGGCTGTAATTAGACCCGAGCCCTTAATTAGCCGTGCAGGATAAGATGGGGCAAGGCTGAGGAAGTCCTGGGCACTGCTCCTGCTGTGGGATGTGGGATCTGGGCTCCTTATCTCCTCCTCCTTGTGTCCTCTGCAAACCCCAGAGGTGATTTCCCTCTTATTCTGCTCTAATAAGCCACCTCAAGGTCTTCCTCTGCCCTTGGGTGGCAAAAAGCGCCAGTGGCACCTGCCAGGCTCCCCCCGGGCTTTTGGGCTTGATCCTGAGGGAGCCAGGAGAGAACAGGAGCAAAGTGTGGCCAGCAGCAGGGCTGGGTCCACGATCCGAGGTGGGCACCAGCCTCTCCCAGGGCTTGTGGCAGCTTTGGAGCTGAGTTTGAATCTCTCCCAGCGCTTGGTGCCTGTCTGGCAGCTGGAGAACCAAAGTGCAGAGGGGAGAAGTGACTCTGGGGAAAAGCTGTGGGGAGCAGAGCTGAGCCTGCAGCCACGGCTGGGCGGCTCCTCTGCCCCACAGAACAGCTCTGCTGCAGGTTTTGCCCTTCTGGCCAGGATCTCTGGGGCTGTCCCTGGGCTCTCGGTGTCCCCAGGGCTCCAGAGCCCATCCTGCCTCTGTCCCTGGGCTCTCAGCGTCCCCAGAGCCTGTCCTGCCTCTGTCCTTGAGCTCTCAGCGTCCCCAGAGCCTGTTCTGCGTCTGTCCTTGAGCTCTCAGTGTCCCCAGAGCCTGTCCTGCCTCTGTCCCTGGGCTCTCAGTGTCCCCAGAGCCTGTCCTGCCTCTGTCCCTGGGCTCTCGGTGTCCCCAGAGCCC